CTGCCTCATCAACAGCTCTTTGAGGGCAGAGAGAGAGAGAGATTGGGCATTCTATTCCACAGTGAAATTTCCGCGTGTAGGTGGTATACACATGTGGAACTCTGTCTGGTTGGATATTCTTAAGGACAGTCCTTGATTTCTGTATGTATCAGACATTCGGCTGATTGGAAAAAGAATCTGTGCCAGGGTTCAAATAAGATAATGAACTTGACCTCCAAACTCAGACTGGTGTTTTGTCTGAGTCCTTATCCATTACTCACTTTTTCTAAATTGAGTGGTTGAGGCTTCAGAGAACATTCAGTTCTTGAAATGTTCAATAATATTGACTGGTTAAAGTTCACTTCATTTAATACTATATCTGTCTGTATCCGGCATTTGCAGGTCCAGAACGGAGATTAGGAGGAACTTTTTCATACATAGAGAGTGGTGGACGTGTGGAATTCTCTGCCATAGTCGGTTGTTAGGGCATAAACCATGTGCACATTCAAGACCGGAAACATGATAAAGATAGAATAAAGTTGAGAGGGGGCAAAGCTGGGATATGGGACTGGGGATAGGATTCAGGATAGGATCCACTTGTGTGGAGTATAAACACCAGCCTGACTGGATTGGCTGAATAATCTGTTTCTGAGCTGTACCTTTCATGAATTTGAATACCTAAATATTCTTACATGTTAATGTTTAAATGTTTAATGTAAATTTAGATTAAATATTGCACTGACCTTCAAACCTGGGCAACCCACCTCTCTTTTGGGATGCTATTGGAAAAATATGCAGTGCGTTAACTGCCATTGTACAATGAAAAGGTAAATTAGAATACTAATCCTTGCAGGCAGGCTTCCACCAACTAAACCATATAGGAGGGGAATTACCAGTGTTTCAGAATATGATAGAACACGTGTTACTATACTAATGTTACTAATTTCACTGTACAGTTTGGAACGCTTTTGTCCCATGTTATTTCTGGATTATGGGGCTGCAATTCCTTCTGGTTCACTATTTCATATTTCTCAATTCTAGGGCCCAAAAGGTGATCTTGGTGTAGCAGGAACTGATCGGTTTCAAGGCCACCCTGGAGCTGTAGGACCCCAGGTCGGTCAAAACTAACACGTGATTGAAATGATGAAAACATCCATTTCCACACATAGTCATTGCACATTGCTAACAATCACAAAGTTCTTATGAAGGAAACCTGGAAATACTAAGACCAGTTGTATGTACCAAGATGAGGTTGACAAACTATGTGCACAACACAGACCATGGGATATGGTACATAGGTAGTTTGTGACATATGTGCAGCGATCGCCAGGAAGATGGAAGGCGAACTAGAGAGACTTTGGTCTTTTTTTCATCTAGCTTTCCTTATGTTCTTATGTAGAGCAGGATAACACCTGGGTCGTGCCCTCTGTATGGCTCAGTGTTACACAACATGATGCTTGATACTTGGCCACGGGGTGGGGCTAGGGGTCCATCACCTGGTTTCACATTAGCTTCTTACAGCTTCCGGTCAGTACATTTATAAATGAGTATCTGAGTTATGCAGATACTCATTTAGTGGAGTCCTGTAGCTCAGTGGTTAGACCACTCACCTCGCAAGCGAGCGACCTGGGTTCAATTCCCGGCAGAGTGAAACCTTGGGCAAGTTTCCTTACTCCACCCACCTGATAATAATCCCTCTAAAAAAATAATTTGGCCACTCATCCACGACTTTTTGTGGGACGCTGCTGTGCGTATTTGGCTGCCGCGTTTTGCCTTCAAAATAGTCAATTGACTTTACAGTATATTGCGTGAAGCGCTTTGAGACGTCTAGAAGATGTGAAAAGCGCTATATCAAATGCAAGGATTATTATTATAGGAACATACTTTTCCAATCTGTGTTCATTTAGCTGATCTCAGCATTGGAGATGCCAATGGGTTAATAACCCAAACAACTTGCATTTCTCTTTGACCGTGCCTTCAGCTCCCCTCTCGACTCTCTTCCCCCTCCTCGCTCCCTCCCTTCCCTCCCCTCACCCTGACCATTTCCCCCCTGCTCGGGTCATGACCCAACTGTGCAGTGCCTTGGGACGTCCTCCTGACGTGAAAGGCGCTTTATAAATGGAATCTTGTTGTTGTTGTTGTAGCACGAGAGGAATGGAACATGAGGGAAGGGGCAGATAGGAGGAAGATGACCAAAGAGGTAGATTATTTTATAAGGATTTTGAAAGCTGAGATGGAGGGTGTGAGCAGAGGGATTTAGCTCCAGAGCGAGGACAAAGTGAACTGGGAGGCACATGGAGCAGGCCTGAGTTAGCAGAACATAAAAACATAAGAATTAGGAGTAGGCCATTCGGCCCTTCGAGCCTGTCCCGCCATTCGATAATATCATGGCTGATCTTCAGACCTAACTCTAATTACCTGCCCTATCCCCATATCCTCTAATCCCTCTATTTTTTTTTAAATCTATCAGTCTCAGCCTTGAAGATGTTCAAGGACTGAGCATCTACAGCCTTCTGGGTGAAGAAATGTTTCCTCAACTCTGTAAAGAAGAGTGTCTTTTTATATATATGTATATCATGTATATGTATATGTATGAATACATATACATGACATTCTCTCCAGAAGAATCATTTTCTGATACTCATTAGTGAGGGTGAGTTTTGTAAATTCAGGTACTAACAACTGGTGCAAATGGAACTGAACTGCAGAAGAATGAAAAAGTAGCCAAACAGGTGTTGCAGGGGAGAAAATTGGCTAAAGTCATAAAAAAAGGTTTTGTACAAAAAAGTTGGAGAATAATAACAATAATAATTCTTGCATTTGATATAGCGCCTTATCACATTTTCTAGACATCTCAAAAGCGCTTCACAGAATATACTGTAAAGTAAATTGATTATATGAATTGACTATTGACCGAATCCCTGACTGTCCAGCGCCTTGGGACATCCTCTCGACATGAAAGGCGCTTTATAAATATAATTTTGTATTGTTTTGTGGGCGAATGGAAGAGATCAATCCTAATATTATTTTCTGTGGGGTGAAATTAATAGACTTTCAGAGTGTCACAAGATCACAATATTGGTTTTGATAAAGAAGCCCGTTCAATCTCATCCCTTCAGAACACCCACCCTACCATCCCCCATCACAGCATCAAGCTGCTTTTTAAATTAGTCGAGCGTCCTGGGTTCAACCACTTTTTCTGGCAACCTGTTCATTACAACAACAACAACAACAAGATTCCATTTATTGAGCGCCTTTCACGTCGGGAGGATGTCCCAAGGCGCTGTACAGTTGGGTCAGGACCCGAGCATTGGGGGGAAATGGTAAGGGTGAGGGGAGGGAAGGGAGGGAGCGAGGAGGGGGTAGAGAGTCGAGAGGGGAGCTGAAGGCACGGTCAAAGAGAAAGGTCTTCAGACCGGCCTTGAAGGAGGAAAGGGAGGAGGCAAGGCAAAGGCACTGGGGGATAGAGTTCCAGAGCCTAGGGGCTGAGAGGCTGAAGGCCCGGCCACCGATAGTAGGGCGGTTGGGGCGGGGGATGTGGAGCAGACCGGAGCCAGAGGAACGGAGGGTACGGGCGGGTAGGTAGGGGGATAGTAGGTCGGAGAGGTAGGAGGGAGCGAGGCCGTGAATGGCCTTGTAGGTGAGGGTGAGGATCTTGAATTCGATCCTCTGGGGGATGGGGAGCCAGTGGAGGCGAGCGAGGGTGGGAGTGATGTGGTCGCGGTGCCTGGTGCGGGACAGTACACGAGCTGCAGAGTTCTGAATGACCTGCAGCTTGTGGAGGGAGGTGCCGGGAAGGCCGGCGAGGAGAGAGTTCCCATAGTCCAGCCTTGAGGTGATAAAGGCGTGGACCAGGGTTTCAGCAGCGTGAGGGGTGAGGTAATGCCGTAGTCTGGCGACATTCCGGAGGTGATGGAAGGCGGTGCCAGTTGTGGCGCGGATATGGGGGAGAAAGGACAGCTCAGGGTCGAACAGAACCCCGAGGTTCCTGACTGGCTTTGAGAGGTGGAGAGTGCAGCCTTGGATGCTGATGCTGTCAGCGCCTGAGGTGCGGAGGCGCTGACGTGAGCCAATCAGGAGGGCCTCAGTTTTGCGCACGTTGAGCTGGAGAAAGTTATCTCTCGTCCAGGACTCGATGTCGGACAGGCAGCTGTCAGGACATCGGTGGTCGTGGAGTTGAGGGTAGAGGAGGAAAGGTAGAGTTGGGTGTCATCCGCATACATGTGGAAGTTAACCCCATGTCTGCGGATGATGTCACCAAGGGGGAGCATATAGAGGGTGAAGAGGAGGGGACCGAGGACAGAGCCTTGAGGGACACCGCACGAGACAGTGCGGGGGCCGGAGGAAAAACATTTGTTGAGACAAAGTGAAGACGGTGGGAGAGGTACGATCTAAACCACTCAAGGACAGGGCCTTGAAGGTTTAGGTGGGAGAACAAGCGGTGGAGTAGGATAGTGTGGTCGACCGTATCGAATGCTGCCGATAGGTCGAGGAGGACGAGGAGGCAGAGGGAGCCCTGGTCACAGATGGTCAGGATGTCATTGGTGACCTTGACCAGGGCAGTTTCTGTGCTATGGGCAGCACGGAAACCCGACTGAAGGGGTTCGAATAGTGAATGGGTGGAGAGGAAAGAGCGCAGCTGGGAGGCGACAACTCGTTCCAGGACCTTGGATAGGAAGGGGAGGTTGGAGATGGGCCGGTAGCTTGATAGCTGCGACGCATCAAGGGAGGGTTTTTTTTAAGGTGGGAGTGATGGTGGCAGTTTTTAAGGGAATGGGAACAGAGCCAGAGGAGAGGGACAGGTTGACGATGTCTGTGATATGTGGGGCAAGGAGGTGGAGCTGGGAGATAAGGAGTGGAGTGGGGATGGGGTCAAGGGAGCAGGTGGTGGTTTCAGGGAGAGGATGAGTTTGGTGACAGAGGGTGGGGAAACGGGTACGAAGGTGTGTAGGGGAGGATGGGTAGGAGTCGGAGTGTGGGAGGGAAGGGGGGGGTGGTGGGTGGATGTTGGAGGGGAAGTGACCGCGGAGCGGATTCCCTTGATCTTGGATTCAAGGAAATCCAGCATCTCCTCGCAGTGAAGGTTGGAGGAGATGACCTGCGCGGGGTGGCAGGGGGGACGGAGGAGTTGGGATGTGGTTGAGAACAGTAGCCTGGGGTTGTCCTTCGCTTCCAGGATTATCCTGGAGTAGAAGGATGATTTGGCCGAGGCTAGAGTGGAGCGGTAGATTTTGAAGAGGTCCAGCCAGATTTGTCGGTGGACCGTTAGGCCAGATTTGACCAGGTGCGTTCAGCGGCCCGCACCTGGCTCTTCAGTGAGCGGAGGTGGGTGGTGTACCAGGGGGAGGAGCGAGAGTAGGAGACAGTACGGGAGGTGATAGGGGCAAGAGTGTCAAGTGTGGAGGAGAGGGTGTTGTGGAGGAGGGTGAGAGCAGAAGAGGGGTCGGTGAGGGTTGAAGGCCAGAGGGAGAGGAGTTCAGAGGACTCCAAGGCAGCGGTTAGGGATTGAGGGGGTAACTTCTTCCAAGGGCGGTAGAAGATGGTGGTGGGTCTGGTGGAGGTGGGGAGGGGGGTGGAGGTGGTGAAGGAGATGAAGTAGTGGTCGGAGATGGTGATGGTGACATCCGAGACACTGAGGCCCCGGGTGATCACTAAGTCGAATGGGTGGCCGTGGCTGTGAGTGGGGGAGTTGATGTGGAGGGAGAGGTTGAGTGAGGAGAGCAGGGAAGAGAAATCTGAGGAGATTGAGCAGGAGGGGGTGAAGTGCAGGTTAAAGTCGCCCAGGATGATGAGGCGATCAGAGCAGAGGCAGAGAGATGTGAGAAGTGTTGAGATATCAGAGATAAAGGTGGGAGAGGTTTTAGGGGGCCGGTAGAGGAGGAGGATTTTAAGTGAGAGGAAGGAGGGGTGGGAGAGGGTGAGGTGCTCAAAAGAGGGGAAAGAGCCAGAGGAGTAGGGGGATAGGGCAAGTGGTGTCCTTGAGATAAGAGCAACACCACCGCCACGGCGGTTGGGGCGAGGGATGTGGTGGGAGGTGTAGCCTCCGTGAGGGGGAAGGTGTCGCCGGGGGTGAGCCAGATTTCCGTTAAGGCCATGATATCAACGTTCTCATCAATGATGAGATCATTGATGACCAGGGCCTTGTTACAGAGGGAGTGGATATTTTGTAGTCCGATGTGGAGGGAGCGGTTGACAGAAGGGTGTGCGGGGAGGGAGGGGGGTCCAGGTTGTGAGGCAGGGGTCGGGGAAATGGGGATAAGGGAGGAGAGGTTGGCTCCCTGGGTCTGTGTCCGGGGTGGCTGGCGAGTGTGGTGGGGAATGGGGCAGTCGGTGTGGCTGCTGCTGGACAGCCAACGCCGAGTGCCACGGTGAGCCCGGCGGAGGATTCCCAGGCTGGAGCAGAGGGAGGTTGTGGGAGGGTCAAGTGGGGATAGAAGGCGAGAGGGACGCGGAGAGAGAGGAGGAGAGAGCGGGAGAGATGGAGAGGGGGGAGGGCTTGGGGGTAGAGAGGAGGGAGGAGGGAGGGAGCTCGGGTCATAGCGGCAGCCATATTGCGCACGCGGGGACCGGGATCGAGCGGTCAGGTGGACGGACACATTATCCCATGGGCTGGGGCAGCCAACCTAACAGGACCATGGTGGGCTTTGAGCCCTGGGGGGAGCGCAGAGGATTTTTTTTTTTTTTGTTGCGTGCGCACACTTCTGAAAACTACCACTATGACGTCAGCGGTTCCCCCGCTCCGCCCCCATCCGTTCCCTCCTCAGCCCCACACGCTGCACACCCCCCACACGCGAGCTGTACTCACTCCCCGCGTCGAGTTAAATACCTGAGAGGTAGGCCCGGCTCCTTCCCGCGCTGTCCTGGCGCCGCTCCCTGTCTTACCCTCTGAGTAAAGAAATACTTCCTGGTGCCTGTCCTGAAATTGCCCTTTACAACTCTAAACTTATGTTCGCTTGTTCTTCTGTTTTGATGCCACCAAAGTATTGATCTGGGTTTACATTTTTAATCCCATTTAAATCTTATACATTTATGAGGTGAATCGTCGTCTCACAAGATTGAATTCAGTGTGTGCAATGTGATACATTATCACATTCGAAAATGTTGCCACCTTTCCTCCTGTCTATTTTACTATTTTATTTTACATTCCCAGCTACTCACATTTCTTTCTCCTAGGGCCCGAAAGGAGAGATGGGTCATCCAGGTTTACAGGTCAGTATAATGATGGCAACAACTAGAATGGGGCAAACAGCAAGGTCTCAGGCCCGGCCATTGTGCAGAGGTCAGTAAGGGGCAGATCAGAACATTATCTACTGGTTTCAGAGGTGGTTTCATGTCCCACTTTCCACCCTATTTTGTGGTAACAATTTCAGGCAGGAGAAGACCATCATCATATCTAAAACAGGCATTCAACTTCCTAAGGATTCCTTCTATGTGTTTGTTTTGTTCCATATGCTTTATATTTTTTTCTCTGAAATGACTCTGTCATTTTTCTAAATGAACAATCTGTTGCTTGGTTTCCTCCTGTCCAGGGAGAAGTTGGAAAACCAGGACCTCCAGGCTTTGATGATTCCAGTCAAAAGGTAATTGGTTTCTTTTGTATGTAAAACTTGCATAAATCGTATCTTTTCTTCCACGAAATATACGGTCACTTCACTTTGCAGTAAATTCTGTGAAGCGCTTTGAGACGTCTCAAAGACATGATAAAGTGCTATATCAAATGCAAGGATTATTATTATTGATTAAATTGGATTTTGTAAGACATACAGATTGCCTGCAACTTGGACTTTGTGTTCATTATATTAAATGTTATGGTCCTGTATGATCCGATTTATGTGAGTTTTACTGTATGAAGAATGGTAGTTACAAAGTTTTGATTCTTTCCAATAGTTAGAATCATAAAGATTTACAGTACAGAAGAATGCTATCTGGACCTTTAAGTCTGCACTGGTTCTCAGAAAAAGCTGTTCATTCAATCCCACTGCGCCTCTCTTTCCCCATACCCCCTGCAAGCCTCTATCTCTTTTTATTGGTCAGCCGGGTGTCCCACATATATATGGAAATTCCAGAGATGTTTATTGGAATGGAATGTGCACTTTCTCCCTAGAGGGAAGTATTCTTTTGCCTAATTATGAAGTATTTTAGGCACAGGTTGGCAACAGCCAAGGCTTGGGGACCTCAGAGGGGTAATTGCCCCTACCCTCTGGAACTCCATCGCACGGTTCCTACACCTCGCCCCCTCCCTTGCCTCCTTCAAGACCCATCTCAAGATCCTTCTCTTCGACCGTGTCTTCAGTCAACCTCCTACCCCTACCCTCCCTCCACCCCTCCTGATTCCAACCACCAGCTCGGGTGTGGATCCCTGACTGTCCAGCCCCTTTGGATGTCCTTCTACAACTGTAATTTGTTGTTGCTGGAGTCTAACCAGTTAAAACCACATAGATTTCCAGATAGGGCACTGTCTGGCAAGCTTTCTTACTTCTTGTCCAGTTAGCATGATCCTACCTGTGAGGGCTTTGGCTTGTAGGGATAATGGGAACTGAATGGGAAGAATCCCTGTCCCCAGCGTCCATCTGGTCTGGTCTGCCCTTCCAAGTCCTGTTGATGAGCCAGGCTGGCAGCACTGGTGGTGTTAGGCACAGCAACCCATGCAATTGCCTGGGGCTTCAGGCAGCGAAGCCAGCTCCTGCTATCATGAAAACCCATTGAACCTAATCTGCTCCTGGTGGGGGTGGGGTGGGTGCTCACGGTAATGGACACCTCACTGTAACCAATCCAAAGTTGCTCCGCCCCACACCAGCTGCCCCCAACCACAGCCACACCACCTGGGCGGGTTACTTGGGTACCTGCTGGCCAATGTTGCCAGATTAGGCAGGTTCACGTGGGCTTATGTTGTTCTATGCATCAAAAAAATGCCGGTGGGGTTTGGGTGGGGGTTGCGGATGCCTAATTATTAAATGTTTAAATTAAATCTGCAAAACCTTTTTTTTCCTTGGAAGACCTTTTCTTACACAGTTTCAACCTAAATTGACCACTCTGCTACCCATAGAAGGCAATGCATTATATTGGGCTTCTTTTGGGCTAGTGTTTGGTTGACTTGTGCTACAAGCATATCTTAATTTCTGGCCACCCTGCGGCTAACAGCACGAGTAGGGGCCCCAGAGTCGAGTTCTGCATGGGGCCCCTGGGGGCAAATCCCGGCCTTGCTGGTTGTGCTGTCATCAGCAATGCCCTTGAGTACAGCGGACTCGTGTAGCTCAGGAACTGGACTAATGAGACCATTACTGGCTCAATTCTGACGCGTCACCTTGGAACCATTTCAGCACTTACCTCCCCACCAACCCCCACCCCGAGGAAGATAGTGATTAGTTGCACCCACCCTCATCTGGCTCCACTGGCTCCCCATTCCTCAGAGGATCAAGTTCCAAATTCTCATCCTCACCTTCAAGGCCCTCCATAACCTTGTCCCCTCTTACCTCTCCAACCCACTAACCCCTTATCAATCTGTCCGCTCCCTCCGCACAGCAGGCTCCGGCCCGCTCCATGTCCCCCACCCTCTCGCCCCACCAATGGTGGTCGGGCCTTCAGCCTCTCTGCCCCTATTCTCTAGAACTCCATCTGACATTCCCTTCACCTCGCTCTCTTTTTCTTCCTTCAAGGCATACCTCAAGACCCTCCCGCCCCCCCGCTCGGGTCCTAATCCATGACTATTCAGCGCCTTGGGACATGCTCCTGACGTGAAAGGCGCTTTATAAATGTAATTTTGTATTGTATTATATTGTTTATATACCTATCTATGAAACGCAGAATAAAATCCTCTTCTACCACCTTACTTGGCACCACATCCCAGCAATGCTCTGTGTGGAAAATAAAATCTCTTAAGATCTCCTTTTGCTCTTCTTCATGTTAAGTTAATGCAATAATTTTCTTCATTTTTCCCAGGGTGAAAAGGGTGACATTGGACCTCAAGGGCAATCGGGTCCAGTCGGGCCCCCAGGACCTCCTGGGATGCCTGGTGATCAAGGAGCTTCATGCACATCTTGCGAAGTAAGTTTTAAAGAGAAATTCCAGGTTTTGTTTCATTGATAAATCTCAATGAAGGGTCAATTTCTAATGCAGAATGATCTGTAAAGATAGAAACAAAAATTGAGGAGAATTAATTTTAGCAAATGGGGTATAATGCAAGGATTATGATAGGAGCCCATATTTATCCAACACTTTTGAAAGATGTTAATGGATTTAGTATTAAAGGCTTTAGCTGAAAATCACCCACTTGGTTTGTTTAGGGGCGGAGGGGATAATGCTTAGCTGATTAAATTACAGCAAGTGCACATTCTGGCATTCCCAAGTCTTGGCTCTTGTCAACCTGTGCGTAATACGTTCTGTAAATAATAATAATAGCTGATCCACTTTATACATTAGAATATACAGCACAGAAACAGGCTATTCGGCCCAACTGGTCTATGCCGGTGTTTATGCTCGATATGAGCCTCCTCCTGCCCTTCCTCAACTGAGCCTTCAAGCATAACCTTCTATTCCTTTCTTCCTCACGTACCTATCTAGCTTCCCCTATGCTATTTGCCTCAACAACTCCTTGTGGCATGTTCCACATTCCCACTACTCTCTGTGTGAAGGAATTTCTTCTAATTTCCCTTCACTTCTTGTTAATAATTCCTTCCAGGTCCAACCCTCCTACCTGCTCAAAATCTAGTGTTTTTATCCCCTTGTGCGTGTACTCTCACACTCACAAAATACACATTCTTACAAATAATGAGTTTTCATGTAAATCAGGCCCTCTTCAGACAACAACAACATGCTTTAACTGAGACGGTGAGATAGTCTTGCTACCTGTGGGGTGTAAATGACTGAAACAATACCATGCAAACATGAGGGCAACATTCTAACAGGCATTGAGTCTCCATTCAAACGAGTATTCAATCGAGTTTACCGGTTCCCTGGTCACTGTGGCCATGGTCATGACGTCACCACTGCCACAGTGGACACATGTCAGTATGTGCACAGCAATGTCACATCTACAACCATGGAGTGGGTGACCAATTTTATTTTGAGGCATGTTAACCAGGACACGAAGAGAAACTCCCTTCTCTTTTTGATTTGCACCATGGGATCTTTAACATTCACCTGGACAAGCAGATAGGACCTCAGTTTTATCGTCTCATCTGAAGCACGGAACCACTGACAATGCATTACATTGGAGAGTCAGTCCAGACTATATGGGTTCCACATCCCGACATGGGGCTTGAATCCACAGCCTTCTGACTCAGAGGTGAGAGTGCTGCCAACCGAGCCAGCCTAATGCATGGGTGTATCTCTCTGACTTGTTTGGATTCTCACAAGAATGGTAATGGGTTTGTTTCCTTGTTGATCACATTTAGGAATGGGGGGAGTGGTAGAATACATTTTCTGATCAACAACGGTAGTGTTAGTTTCCTTTGCATAGTCTATCTCATCTGAGAGCAGTCAGACTTTCATGGGCTGAGCAGCATTTGGACAAAATATGATCCCCACCAAGAAAAGCAAAAGACTAAAAGAGAAAGCCGATTGAAGACAGAAAAATGCAAAATTATGAAAATAAATTATACAGAAGAAAAATGAATTTAAAGTTGCCAAAAATGTGAAGATTGACTAACAACAGTATTATATGCAATGTATTGTTGTGGCCTGGAATGCACTGCCTGAAAGTGGGGTGGAAGCAGATTGTAAAGTGAATTGACTGTATATTTGTGGGCGAACGCGGCAGCCAATTGCGCACAGCAATGTCCCACAAACAGTCGTAGATTGAAAATGAACAATTTTTATTATTGTTTTTGGTTTTGGAGGGATTATTATTAGGCTCTGTGTGGAGTAAGAAAACTTTCAAAAGGGAATTGGATAGGTACTTAAAAAGGAAAAAATATTAGGGCTGTGGGGTAAGAGCGAAGGAGTGGACTAGTTGGTAGATTTTTCAAAGAGTTGCCGAATGGCCTGCTTCTTTGCTGTAAGATTCTATGATTTTATGATATGTAGTCATTTTGTAAAATTATCTCCTAACAGAGTTGGTTTTACTGAAAGTTGAATTGTTTTAGAGTGCAGAGTCCATCCCTGGTATTTCTTGAATCCCATTTTGCAGGTGATTCAAGAACAGTTTTAACAAAGTTTCATGTACAAAATACACAGTTACTACATTTTACAGTATATCCTTTGAAGCACTTTGAGACGTATGCCTGCAGTGAAAGGTTAAATGCAAGAATGCATATTAACCACAAGATTTATTATCAAAGAAAGCTGCTGGGATAGACTTCCACCTGACTAGAATTACACAATAACAACAAAACTACATTTCCAAAGCGCCTTTCACATCGGTAGGATGTTCCAAGGTGATGAACAGTCAGGGATCAGGACCCAAGAGTGTGGGTCAGGGTTGAGATGAAGGAGCGCAGAGGATGTAGGAGGGAAGCTGAAGGCACGGTCAAAAAATAGGGTGTTGAGTTGTGCCTTGAAGGAGGCAAGAGAGGGAGCGAGGTGAAGGGATTGTGAGATGGAGTTCCAAAGAGTGGGGACAGAGAGGCTGAAAGCCCGGCCGATGATGGTAGGGCGGGTCGGGTGGGAGACCTGGAGCAGGCCGGAACCTGGTGAGTGGAGAGAATGGACACTTTGATAGGGGATCAGCAGGTCAGAGATGCAGGAGGGGGCAAGGCTGTGGAGGGCCTTGAAAGCGAGGACAAGGAATTTGGATTCTATGAGGGATGTGGAGCCAGTGGAGCCGGGTGAGGGTGAGGATTCACGGAGCCTGGTGTGGGAGAGGACATGAGCTGCAGAGTTCTGGATGATCTGTAGCTTGTGGAGGGAAGAATTGGGGAGGCCGACAAAGGGGGGAGTTTCCGTAGTCGAGCCTTGAGGTGATGAGTGGGTGTATTCTACCAACACATCAATAGAGTAAAACTGTCTCCTGATGATGTGACTGCAGCTTACATTCCCTATCAATAGGTGAATGGCCCAATGCTCATGAATTCTGCTTCACAATGATAGGAAGAGCTGACATTGAAGGATTAAAAAGTGACTGCACAAGCCAGTTATTATAAAGAATTGTGAGGCCCCAATTTCACGGTATGTACTCATACTGAAATTCAAGATCAAGCAATATTTACCCCCTGCATCACAGGGAGGAAGAAACTAGGAAAAATCATTGCAAAGCAGGGAGAGAAATAGTAGCTGGAAATTCCATACACTGTAATTTGGAAGAAAGATTATTTTCTCAGTGACAGTGTTTCACGAGTTGTGTTTGGTTAAGATTGTCCTGAGGCCATAGTGCATCAGTCCTCCCAGGAAAGTTGATTTTCTAACAACAAACTGTATGTTCTGAATTACAGGCTATCAAAGGTGATCAAGGTTCTCCAGGACTAACAGGTCCACAGGTAAATGATATTCTTGTTTAGATTTCTAATGTAATCTTTTCCGTTTCTATCTCTAGTTCTGTACTTTGTCACAGAGGCTAGCTTGTGGTGATAGTTCCATTATTGGCAAGTTCCTGATCTGATTCACACTCTTGAAGGACATCCATACCTCTGTTTACCTAGCAGGAAGTAGGAATCCGGTTGTTAGTCGATTGCCGGATCTCATTCCGGGGCTAATAATCCCTTTAAATTTCTTTAAAAAAAATTATAATACTAATTTGGTCACTCAATCCATAACTGTTTGTGGGACACTGCTGTGTGCAATTGGCTGCTGCGTTTCATCCATAAAATATACAGTCAATTCACTTTGCAGTATATTCTGAAGCACTTTGAGACGTCTCGAAGACGTGATAAGGTGCTATACCAAATGCAAGGATTATTATTGTTATAATACCAGTCTACCTGCTTGAAAAGGGTTAAAACTGTTCAACAGATTTTTATTGTGATATTCACAGCTCAGATTTTTTGGGGGATCGGCCAGGTGTCTGACTTGTGTGGAAACCCATCACCCTGCTTAAGAGTACCCAAACCAAACATAGTTCCATCCATCCTACCTGTACATGGAAATTCCCAAGATATTTATTGGAATGGAATGTGCACTCTCTCCCTCGAGGAACATCTCTGTCCTTCCTACCACACATCTGGTCCCTGACCAGGACTGTTTCCATCGCCACATTCCCTGCCTCTAACTGTACCTTACCCCAAATGAAACCAAATCACTTTGCCATTGAAAGCACTCTCTGGCAAACGTTCCCACTGCTTGTTAAGCTAGGACCATCCTAACTGTTAGGGCTTTGGGTTGCAGGCTTAACAGGAGCTGAGTGGGATGACTCCCTGCCCCCAACAACATAAAAACAACTTGCACTTATATAATGCCCTCCACGCAGGTTAGCTTCTCAGAGCACTTAACAGTGGCGGAGCCTGACTCCGAGCCAGTGGGAGGGAGTAGGTGGCCATAAGCAAGGTTGAAGAGGAAAGTTTTCAGGCGGTACTTGAAAGAGGGGAGGCAAAGGGATTGAGAGAGAGTGTTCCAGAGTTTTGGGGTGTAGTGGATAAAAGCATGACCACCAATGGTGGGGCGGAGGGTGCGAGGGATGAGTGACGGAGCAGAGAAGCCAGGTGATGGATTGGGGAGTGAGGTGGTAGGAAAGATAGGGAGGTGCTAGGCAGTGAATGGATTTGAACACCAAGTGACTAGTACCCCTTCTAAGTTCTTCTGATGTGCTAGGCTGGCTGTGCTGTCATTAGCAGTGCCCTGGAATGCTGCAGACTCCTCTGGCTCAGGAATTGGACAATCGAGGCTGCCACAGAGGGGTGGCTCGATTCTGACATTCAGTTGCCAAACATGTCATCTTGGAGCCAATTCAGCTCCAAGGAGACCCTGCTTACTACCCGCTCCCCAACCCACCCTCTCCCCCCAAACCCAAAAGAGGATACAATTAGGTAATCTTAAGAATGTCAACCAATTGTGAATATCAAAAGCCATTTAATTGATTGTATCAGCAAAACAACCGATTGTGATTTTGAAAGCCAACACGGTGAAAAAGCAAAATGCAATTTCTGAAAGCTTCTGAAAACCTGCCAAATTATTACTCTACAACAGGGGTGGGCAAAATACAGCCCACGGGCGATAACCAGCCTGCCAAATGATTCTATCCGGCCCATCATTGTGTCTAGCAATAGAAAAAAATTATAGTTCATTCAGTCCCAGAAAGTCGCACAAATTTCGCATTTGAATCTGACTGGGAACATCAGCCAATCACACTGTTTAGTTGTGTGCACGTTCCCTTAAGTGTTGAATCAGGCTGACATCAGAAATGTACAGATCAGCAAATTTTCAAATGTGCACGTAGCAACTGTGGCAATACCTTTCAGTGAAGAGAACGTTAATTTGAAATGAGTTTATCAAAGAAGCGGAAAGTGAACGCTGAAGGCTGAATATTCAACAAAGAATGGAATTCTAAATTTTTTTTACCAGTGTGGGTGGAAAAGCTGTGCGCTTAAGTTGCAAAGAAAGTGTGGCAGCGCTCAAAGACTGCAGCTTGAATCGCCATTTTGAGAGCAAATATGCTTGCAAATAAGAACATTTCTGCCAAAGAAAAAGGAAAGAAAGCTGATGTTTGAGTGCAAAAGGAGCAAAACATTTTCACAAAATAATTTGGGTCCCAGGATGAGATAACAAGAGTGAGTTTCATGATTGCACACAAAATCGCCAACAGCAAACCATTCTTTGAAGGAGAATTTATAAAGGAATGTATGGTTGACTCTGCCTCAAATTTAGGCCCAGAACAAAAAAAAACAGTTCGAGAACATTAGCTTGTCAAGGCGAACTATTGTGGGACGTGTCAAGGATATCTCTGAGAACCTGTATCTGCAGTTACAAAATAAAGTAGCAATTTTGCATGTTTTTCACTGGTACTCGATGAGAGTTGTGATGTCAAAGACACAGCCAAGTTGATAATTTTTATTCGAGGTATCACCAAACTTTTTGAACTCACAGAATTGGTATCAGAGACAATGTAGTCAATGAAAGATATGACAACTGGAGAAGACTTTGGAGGCAGTAAATAAGTATATTTTAAAATTAGGAGTGGAGTGGAAAAAATTGGTGAATATGACCACCGATGAAAACCCAAATCTGACAGGCAAAAATGTTGTGTTACTGAAAATAATTCAAGATCAAGTCACAGAAACAGAATATTGTTTTTTACACTGCATTATCCAAGACGTCCTCTGTAAGAGTGTTCTAAAACTAAGCAATGTCATGGACATAGTTTCAAAAGTGGTCAACTACATTCGAGCAAGAGGATTAAACCACAGGCAATTTGCAAGTCTGCTTGAGGAATTGGAATCCAAGCACACGGATGTTCTGTATCACATGAATGTAAGATGGCTTAGTTTAGGAAAGGTCTTGAAAAGAGTGAGAGCAGAGATTGATTGATTTTTGAGCATGAAACAAAAAGATTCGGATTTCCCACAGCTGAATGATGCGAATTGTCTCTCTGATTTCGCATTTGCCGTGGATATCATGGGCCACATGAATGAACTGAATCCAAACTGCAACGGAAGGGGGGCCTTTGTGCACGACTTGTATTGCAGTGTCAAGTCATTTATGATGAAAATGATGAAATTATTTATTTTATCGCATCAGATAGGAAACACCCACTTTCCAACTTTGCAGTAGATTACTGTTTGCGATCAAAGCCTTAAAAAGTATACTTTGTCACTGGTTGACTTACATGCTGAATTTTCTTGCCGATTCCAGGATTTCAATTTGATCAAAACTGACCTGTCTTCGGTCTCTTCACCTTTTCCTTTAATGTTGACAAAGCCCCATTTGACCTCCAACTTGAGCTTATTGACCTGCAATGTGATCCATTGCTTGCGGAGCAATTCAAATCAGTGCCGCTTCCCAGTTTTTACGCCTCTCTTAATGAATATACCTTTCCAAAAGTAAAGGCTCATGGCCGGAGGATGCTTGTACTGTTTGGATCAACATACACATGTGAGGAGACATTTTCTGTGATGAAATTCAATAAATCAATAAAGAGTAGGGAGGTTATGGTTAATCTATACAAAACACTGGTTAGGCCTCAGCTGGAGTACTGCGTCCAGTTCTGGGCACCTTACTTCAGGAAGAACATTAAGGCACTGGAAAGGGTTCAGAGGAAATTCATGAGAATGATACCAGGAATGGGGAACCTTAGCTATGAGGACAGTGGAGAAGTTAGGACTTTTCCCATTAGAGCAGAGAAGGTTATGCGGGGACCTGCTAGAGGTCTTCAAGATCATGAAAGGTTTCGACAGGCTGGATAGGGAAAAGCTGTTTCCGCTGGTAGGTGTGTCTGTGACCCGTGGTCAGAGTCTTAAGATATCTACCAAAAGAAGCAGAGGGGAGGTTAGAAGAAATTTTTTCACTCAGCGAGTTGTTCGAATTTGGAATGATCTGCCTGAAAGGGCAGTGAAGTCCGATTCGATAACAGCTTTTAAGAGAGAATTGGATAGGTATCTGGGAAGACGGGTTTGTAGGGTTATGGGGAGAAAGCTGGTGATTGGGGTTAGTGAAAGTGACTTGCTCTGTCAAAGAGCCGCACAGACTCGATGGGCCAAATGGCCTCCTGTGCCGTAACATTCTATGAATCTATGAAAATAAAATGGCCCGCCAGCCAAAATAGTTGCCCACCCCTGCTCTACAGGATAAATGACAAATTGTAAATGTATTGAGATATTTAGGGGTATGGTGAAAGGGAAGGGCATTCAGTTTAAAAGAGCTGCCAAGATCTAACAAACTAGTTGAACAGGTTTGATGGGCTGGATGGCCTCTTTATATTCCTGTTTTCCTATGTTTCTAATGTGGCTTGTGTAAGTAACTACACGACGTGAAAGGCGCTCTATAAATGGAATGTTGTTGTTGTTGTAACTAGCTATTTCTCCAGTAATCATCAGGTCCATTTATTAATTGTTATCAACTGTTTCCTCAGGTTCCCTTGGTTTCTTAGATATTTTGGTGCTCAGTTTTGGTATCCAAAGCAACTAAATGTAATACAATCATACAAATTAAATAATACTCATTTTTATAACAATTTGAGTGTTATGCACTAATGATTGTGGAGCAATGGGATTTACTGTACTTCAGTGATATATTTTTAAAATATGTTTGTTAAATATCCCAAGAGTTCCATGCCCTTCATGGTGGCACTGTGGGTGCTTTCCCAGTTTGAAATACTGGTTTATGTCCTAGTTATATTGTTGTGGGTGACTGATGCTGCTCCCAACAGTAAGAGGATTGAGAGTTGTGCTTCATACTCATTGGCCAATTGAGGAGAGTTCTGCATATGGACTATTGTCGTATATGAAGAAGATTGTTTAATCTGATTCTTTTTATTATGCTATTTAAAGAACAATGTTATATGGCTTACCATATTCTCTTCCTGTGTCCCAATTCTAGGGTATCTCCGGAATGCCTGGTCCTCCAGGAATACCAGGACCAATTGGACCATCAGCGCCAATGGTCAGTGTGATGTATTCTAAAGTCTTGATGGTTCATTAACATTGTTTTATAATTAAAGGGTTCTCAATCACAACTTTCCTCCTCTACAATGGTAAATTTACATCCAAACCGGTGACAGAGACAATTATTGAATCACATTGAAAATCACTATGAGATATTCCATACTTAGAAATAAATCTTTTTGGTCAGTTATGACTGTTCGCCACAGTTGGTGAGTTACTAGTCTTCACCACGATTAAGCAAAAGCCAAGCATCCTCCAACCACAAGGCAGTAGGGAAATGGAAAGCAAAAGACACTTGACATGTAGAATACTAGCTACTTACCACTTGTTTCTGAGTCAGAGCAGAATTGGCAAAGGAATCACGAGTTTCTCAGTGACAAGTGATACCTAATAACATTGCAATGCTCAGCAACAACAAACTGTTGTTTATTTGGTCTGTCTCAAAAGTTTAAAAAGATAGATAATTAGTTATATACTTTACACTTCAATTGGTTTATTTGCCAAATAGCTACCTTAATGAGTTTGCTGACCATATTGTGCTTCAATCACCTTTCTATGTAATCTATTTCCAAATTCAGAGAACCCCATTATAATGCCCCCAGTTTAGTGCTGCTTCATTTATAATGCTCGGGTCTTGTAAACCTGCACAATTGTAAGCAAATTGCATCTAGTTTCTGGTCCAAAAAAATGGCCAACTTTCAGGTCATCAGGTGGCTTCTAGCATCACTTCCTGTGTGCAGGAAGTGACTACTGACATTACTTTGTCCAGGAAGTGACACCAGCATTGACCTGAAAGTTGGCTGTTTTACACACTTTGCCTCTCGTAATCTTATGAGTTATTGGACCCAGAGGACTATAATAATAAAATAATAATGATCCTTGAAGTGACCAATTTATTGTTATTTACAACTGCATTATAACAAGTATTTTTGTGCCGACCGAGACTGAAAGGTTTAAGGTGTTTTAGGAGGGAGGGTGTGCATCACGCCTTGAAAACAAAACTTGTACAACAGTTTTAACAAAACAAGAAAGGTTTATTTTTAACAAGGAACCTCTACTTCTGTACTTCCGCCTTCGCCCAGCTGAAGTAATTTTTCAACAGAAACATTAGGCTACAGGTGCTGTGCTTGATACATGAATGTACTTTTTTTTTTCATCCGTGGATTAGGGCAAATGTGATGAGCAATGTTACTCCCAGCCAGGACTTCCTGGTCCTCCTGGCCCACCGGGACTATCTTGGTATGATGTGGAGAAGGGACACATTTTTGACAACAAGGTAAGTGTCTTCATCTAATCAATTTTATCTCATTTGTTAAATGTTCAGTTGTGTTCAAGCAATATACAAGGGATGTAAGGATATAGAATATCTTAAAAATTCATATTTATGTACACCTTTCACGTTCAGAGGATGTCCTGAAGTGCTTGAGTGTCATAGCTGGCTTATTAACTAAAATATAAGAGTTGCTAGACATAAAAAGACCAAGATCCATCCAGTTTGCCTTCCTGGCAGTCGCATGCACATATCAGGATCCAAACTATAAACTATATACTGTATCCTGAGATATTATTTCCTAACAGAAATCTATCTAATTTGTTCTTAGAAGAATCAACACTGTCTGCTTCCACTGTCTCCCTAGGGAGCCTGTTCAATACATTTACTAGTCACTCACTGAAATAGTGTGTCCGCAGATTTGTTCTGAATTTAACCCCCTTCAATCGCAGGCCGTGTCCTCTGGTTCTGCTGTTCAGTTCAAGATAAAACAGCTGGCCAATTCCCAAGTATGCTCAAATTCTCCTGTAACCTATCTGGTTCAGCTTTGCAGTCTACCACCTTTGGTATCTTTGCTGCAAATTTAGCCACTGTGTTTGTGACTCTTAACTCCAGATCATTTATGAAGATAATAATCCTTGCAGTTGATATAGCGCCTTATCACGTCTTCGAGACATCTCAAAGCGCTTCACAGAATATACTGTAAAGTGAATAGACTATGTTTTGTGGACGAAACGTGGTAGCCATTTGTGCACAACAGTGGTCCCACAAACTGTCATGGATTCATTATTATTATTATTTTGTGAAGGGATCAATACCTCCTGGAAAAGAGATCCCTCAATCGACTAACAACCCAGGTTCCTACATACTGCTAGGTAAACAGAAGCATGTGGAGTAAGGAAACTTCCCTAATGTTTCGCCCTGACGGGAATTAAACCCAGATCCTCTCACTTGCGAGGCGAGTGCTCTAACCACTGAGCTACAGGACTCCACATATATTAAATAAAAGAAGTCCAAGATATTAAATAAAAGAGGTCGCAATATCAAAATATGAAATAAATAGACAAGATGATTGTGTCTTCGTGGGTTGGGGGTTGATCTTTGCTCTCCTGAAGGTCCTTCAATTCATGTTCATAGAATCATAGAATTGTACAGCACAAAAAGAGGCCATTCGGCCCATCGATTGTGCCGGTTCTTTGAATAGAGCAATTAATGTCAGTCCCACTCCCCATAACCCTGCAAACCCGTCCTCCTCAAATACCCGTCCACCGCGTTTTTAAAAGTAGTTATCAAATCAGCCTCGACCACCCTTTCAGGCAATGCGTTCCAGATTCGAACAACTCGCTCCATGAAAAAATGTCTTCTCACCTCCCCTCTGTTTCGTTTAGGGACTATTTTGAATCTGTGACCTCGAGTCACCAACACACCCACCAGTGGAAACAGTTTTTCCCTTTCCAACCTATCAAATCCCCTCATGATTTTGAAGACGTCTATTAGGTCTCCTCCTAACCTTCTCTGCTCCAATGAGAATAATCCTCACCTCTCTAGTCTTTCCTCATAATCAAGGTCCCTCATTCCTGGTACCATTCTTGTAAATCTCCTCTGCACCTTTCCAATGCCTTAACATCCTTCCTGTAGTGTGGTGCCCAGAACTGGGCGCAATATTCTAACTGAGGCCTAACCAGTGTTTTATATAGGTTAATCATAACCTCCTGATTCTTGTACTCTATGTCCCTATTTATAAAGCCTAGTATCCCATATGCCTTATTTCCAGCTTTATCTACCTGTCCGGCCACCTTCAAGGATTCATTTATCTGCACCCCCAGGTCTCTCTGTTCTTTCACCCCCCTTAAGATTATATTACCTAACCTGTATTGCCTCCCCTCATTCTTTCTACCAAAATGCATCATCTGCCATGTGTCTGCCCATTTTACCATTCTGTCTGTGTTTTCCTGCAGTTGGCTCCTATCCTTCTCACAGTTTATTACCCTGCCAAACTTTGTGTCGTCCGCAAACTTGGAAATGGTACTTGCTATACCCAAGTCCAGATCATTTATGTATATTAAGAAGAGCAGTAGTCCTAATACCGATCCCTGGGGGACGCCACTGTACACTTCCCTCCAGTCAGAAAAGCAGCCGTTCACCACAACTCTCTGCTTTCTGTCTCCCAGCCAGTTCTGGATCTATGCTGCCACTGTTCCTTTTATACCATAGGCTTCTATATTTCTTACAAGTCTTTCATGTGGTACTTTGTCAAATGCCTTTTGAAAGTCCATATAAACTACATCAACTGCACTCCCTTTATCCCCTCTCCGTTACGTCATCGAAAAATTCTATTAGATTTGTTAGACAAGATTTGCCTTTAACAAATCCATGTTGGCTGTCCCTAATTAACCCATATTCTTCTAAGTGAAGATTTATTCTGTCCCGGATTATAGTCTCCAGGAGTTTCCCCACTACTGATGTTAGGCTGACTGGCCTGTAGTTCCCAGGTTTATCCTTGTGTCCCTTTTTGTACAGGGGAGTCACATTGGCCACTCTCTAGTCCTCTGGCACCACTCCTGTGTCCAACGAAGATTGAAAAATTGTAGCCAAAGCTTCCGCTATTTGTACCCGTGCCTCCCATAGTAATCTTGGTTGCATCCCGTCCGGACCGGGCGAGTTATCTACCTTCAGCGCAGTCAACCTTTTCAGCACTTCCTCTCTGTTTATACTTATCCTATCCATTTCCTCTATCCTCTCCTCCGATACTGCAGCATTTGGTGCACCCACTTCTTTTGTGAAGACAGATGCAAAGTACTCATTCAGCACATCAGCCATGCCCTCTGCCTTCACAATAAGATTTCCCCCTTGGTCCTTAATTGGCCCAACCCTATCTTTGACTAACCTTTTTTTTCTTGATATGCTTGTAAAATATTTTAGAATTCCCTTTAGTGTTACCCGCTAACCTTTTCTCGTATAATCTTTTTGCCCCTCTTATTTCCTTTTTCAAACCTCTTCTGCACTTCCTATATTCTATTTGGTTGTCTTCTGTATCTCGGGTTTGACATTTGACATACGCCTCCTTTTTCTGCTTCATTTTAGATACAATTACATTTGTTATCCAGGAAGGTTTGGAAGCCCTACTTTTCCCTTTTGTGGGAATGTATTTATTCTGTCCCCGAGCTATCTCATCCTTGAAGACACTGCTCTTTAGTTGTTTTTTGTTTTATCTGCCAATCTTTCTTTCCAGTCCACCTTGGCTAAGTCCCTTTTTAACTCACTGAAATTTGCCCTCTTCCAGTTGAATATCTTCAGCTTCGATGGTTCCTTGTCCCTTTCCATATGCACTATGAATCTAATGATGTTATGATCACTATTGCCCAGATGCTCTCCCACTGAAACCTGCTCCACTTGCCTTACTTCATTCTGGATTTAGATCTAGCACTTGTTGGACTGGAAACGTACTGATCAAGAAATTTGTCCTGTATGCATTTTAGGAATATTTCCTCCTCCTTGCCCTTTGCGCTGTTGTTTTGCCAGTCTATGTTGAGATAATTAAAGTCCCCCATTATCACGACTCTATTGGCCTTGCATCTGTCCGCGATCCACTTGCAGATCTGCTCATCTGTTTCCTTCCCACTATTTGGTGGTCTATAGTATACCCCTACCAGTGTAACAGCTCATTTTTTGTTCCTTAACTCTAACCAGATAGATTCCGTTTGGGGGCCCTCCAGCACCTCGACCCTTTCCACGGCTATAACCATATCCTTGATTAACATTGCCACACCCCCTCCTTTTTTTCCTTCCCTATCCCTCCTGAATACATTATAGCTCAGAATATTCAGCTCCCATTCCTGTCCTTGCTTGAGCCAAGTCTCTGTTACTGCTACTATATCGTATCCTCCTATGACTACTTGAGCCTGCAGCTCACCAATCTTGTTTGCTAAACTCTGTGCATTTAGGCACATGCACTCCAAGACCGACTTGACCTGTTCTGCACTTCCCCNTGTTTTTTTTCTCCATTTTCTAGCTCTCCGTTTTTTGCATTCCCTTCCCCCCTCAAAACTGGTTTAAACCTTCCCCAACAGCATTAGATAGCCTGTCTGCAAGCACATTCACCCCAGCCCTATTTAGGCGCAACCCATCCATATGATACAGGTCCCACCTGCCCCAGAACTGGTGCAATGATCCAGAAACCTGAGCCCTCTTTTCTGGACCATTTCTCCAGCCAAGCATTCATATGCTTGATCCTGCCATTCTGGTACTTATTTGCCCGAGGCACAGGGAGTAATCCAGAGATCGCCACTTTGGATGTTCGATTCTTTAGTATGTTCCCCAGCTTTTGACATTCACCCTGTAGCGTCTCAGTCCTTTTTTTACCCATATCATGGATCCCCACCGGGACCATCACTTCTGGATGTTCTCCTTCCCCCTGAAGAATTATATCCACCCTTTCTGCAATGTCTAAGACTGTTGCACCAGGGAGGCAACATACCATCCTTGACTCCCGTCTTCTGTTATAGAAACGTCGGTCTGTACCTCTCACTGTTGTATCCCCTATGACAACAGCATTGCTCCTGTTACCTATGTCCCCTGTTCCACCAATTGGTTTATACTGTCCTCCCTGGAGATATCCACACTCTCAATGTTCAGTACAGAGTACCGGTTTGAGAGTGCTACACTATTGGGGGCATCCTACCCAGCCCGTCCCTCTTCCTACCATGCCGGACAGTCACCCAGTCATTTTCTGTCTGAAACCTCGGTGTGTGGGGTGGGGTGACCACCTCTTGAGGTGTCTGGTCCATCAAATACTCACATCCGTTGATCAAGTTTGAAGCCCAAGGCTCCATCACCCCTCTCTTATGGGTGTTGAAGTACAGTTTCCTCTTGTATCTTACCCCAAAGTATTTGTGAGTATTGACCAACAATAACAAGGGAAATCCAGACTGATTCTGATGATCAACGATGTTTGGCATTGCAAGATAAATAATACAGTTCTAATATTGTTGGTAACTTTTTCTTTGTTTTGTAACAGAATCTATTCGTAACAAAAGGAGAAATTGGCCTCCCTGGCCGGTCGGTAAGCAATTCATTTCTGTACCATTAATGGTTTCAGTATTAATGGTGATATTGTGAGCTGAAAGTGTTACAGTAAAACTCGCATGAGTCTTATCTTTATAAATCATATAATTGCTTAAGTCATGCATGACCCATGCCCTGAAGTCCCATTCAGTTTCTTATCAAACACCACTTGAATTTCTTTTCACAAGTCGTATTTTATAAAGCAAATCATCTCCTAACTCGTAAAGCTATCACTGAATCTACTGATTGATTGAATCATGGGAAATGAAGTCCTGACCTATTGCTGCATGCGTACTTGCTGGCTGCATTGAATTGTGCATGCATAGCCTGGATTATTGATTAAATCAGGTTTTATACAATTTACGCAAGTTTGCCTGTAATTCATATTTCACGTAAATCATATTGACTGTTATGGTCCTGACTGATATGACTTAAAAATGGAGAAAGCAAAGTGAACACTTGGGGCATTCACAATCGAAATTAACCTGATGCTCCATGAGCTTCTCTTATGGTAATAGCTTTCCAGTATGAAGTATAGGTAAGTTTCATAGTACTGCTCCAAACATGATTCTTCCTCTCACTGAGGCTTTGACTAATAAGGGTAAAGATATGCCAGTCCTGCCAAGTTACCAACAGAGTACAGTCTACAGAGAAAGTTTCATAGTTTAACTGACAAGGTAAAGAAACAAACACTGGACAGTGTTTCAGCTCCAGCAGTACCCCAACCTACAAACTGGGGTCCCCAAGCCTCCTCTAGGCTCTTGACAAACTGTGCCTAATATTCTCTGGAATTAGTTAAGCAGGATGTGCACCCTCCTTCCGTTACAAACACAGAGATTGCCACATATAGGTGGCATGAATGGAACTCTGTTTTGTAATCTCTTAAATTTGGTGATGGTGTTGGATACACCTTTAAGAGAAAATGGATAATTAACAAAGTGCCAAAGAGAAGAAGGGCATGAAGTATAAAAAAGGACACTGGGAGTGGGAGAAAGGGTGTGTGATTGAGAGTGGTGAATTATTGAGTGCTTGGAAAGCCAAATAAAGAAGCTGCAAACAAACCTTTGGTCTGGATCAACTAATACTTACAATGGGTTTCAGCATATGTCAGACACCTGCTGAACAAAATAAATAATCAAAGTGTTACAAGCTGAGTTAGGAGTTCAAGGACCATCCTTACTACATACCAGCTAACGAATCTCATTGATGATTAGTTAATGCCTTGTTGTCTGGTTACTGAGGACTTGCCCAAAGCATATCTCCGAGGAGCCAATTGAATCCCAGAGATGCCCTACTACTTCCTGAAAGGACTGACTGAAACCTGAGTTCACTCTCCTGAGTTCAACATCTGGAGATCTCAGGGCCTGATGTAAAATTAATACACAATGATGATGCCAACAAATAATCCACCTGGTAAAATTATTCAACACATCAGTTATCTTCTTTGCAATTTATGATATTGATTTCCAAGCTCACACCGCTATATCCAGTGTATTGATCTGCAATTGGAGAATCGCTGGTATTGGTCTCCCCAAAGATTGCATCTGAATTAAGGATTAGGCTCCATATCCTGGATGTAATAGTGATGAGTAATAATCATAGTGATTTTACTCTCAAAGGCTATAATTTTCAGAAGTTAGAATAGAACCTTTATTCATCTTGGACCTTCTTTCCCTGTGGCGCTCCACCCACAGTGATGTCAATAGAGCTATCAAGCTAATAATCCGACTTCCTTATTCTCCTCAGCGTATCCCTTAGACTCACCAAACCTGTGCATTAGGTTTGATTGCCAGTGTTCATTCCTACCCCACATCCAGTCTCTGACCAGGACCCCTTTTCTCTACCTCTTCTACATCGCCCACTTCTGACCATTCATCACACCCAACACTACTAAAACCCTTAGCCATGCTTTTGGTACCTCCCACTTCAATTTTTCCAATGCCTTCCTCGACGGTCTCCCCAGTTCCAGCACTCATAAAATTCAAATGATTCAGAACACTGCTTCCCATGTTTTGACCCCCACCTCAGGCCCTGCACCTCCATTACCCCAGTCCTTGCCAGGCTCCACTGGCTCCCTATTGCAGAAAGGCTTGATTCGCACACATGTATACAAATCACTTCATGACTTGGCATCTCCCTACCTCTCCAACCTGCTGACAGGTGCCCCTCTACCCATCCCCTTTATGCAGCTGGCTCCAACCTTCTGCACGTCCCTCATCCCCTCCTGTCCACCATCAGTAGCCAAGTTTTCAGTCACTATGCCCTGCAACTCTGAAACTCTCTTGCCTCAATCCCTATACCTTACAACAACAAGATTCCATTTATAGAAGGCATTGGGGGATGGAGTTCCAGAGCCTAGGGGCTGAGAGACTGAAGGCCCGGCCACCGATGGTAGGATGGTTGGGGCGGGGGATGTGGAGCAGACTGGAGCCAGAGGAACGGAGGGTTCGGGCAGGTAGGTAAGGGGATAGTAGGTCGGAGAGGTAGGAGGGAGCAAGGCTGTGAATGGCCTTGTAGGTGAGGATGAGGATCTTGAATTCGAATTACCCACCCTTGCCCATCTTCAGAAAGCACCTGACGACCTTCCTCTTTGATCGTGCCTGCAGTCACCTCCTCTCTTTCTCCATCACTAGTTTAGCATTCCGAGACACTATATAGTGCACTGTGTAAATGCTATTTAATGCTAAAAATTATTTGATGTTGTACAATATGGGAATTAGGATGTGAAACTGCTGTTCTGCTAAAGTTGCATTGCTTGGGGTATACTTTGAGTTAGAGTCTATAAGTAGTATGTTCAGAAGTGTCAATAATTGAATTTGTCTATTTTAAAATATTCATTGTTTTTGTTTGTTTTTCCCAGGGGCGTCCTGGAATGAAAGGGGAAAAAGGGGAAAAGGGTGAAACAAATTCTATTCGAGAACATAAAGGACTCCATTGTGTAAGTCAATTTATGGACTAATCCCACCACTTTTAAGGATGTATCTAGATGTATTTAGCCCAAACTGTTCTTTATGGACTTTAAAAAGTTGTCTAAGAGTCAGCTGCTCCATCATTTTACCAACTCATTGACTGACTGATATGCAATTTAACACCATTTTATCTTTCACCATATTGCTTGATACCCCTGCCTACCAAATACTCATCTATCTCCCTCTTAAATATTTCAATTGACTCAACATCTACAACCTTTTCAGGTAGTTAATTCCATATTTCTACAGCATTGGGTGGAAAACATGTTTTCTGGTGTTTTCAGCAACTTGATAACCTAGATATTGGCCATTTTTATTCCTGGAAATGAAAGTGCTCCAAGAAGCTAGCATTAAAAGTCTATATAAATGCCAGTTATTCTAGTTATTAAAATGGCTTACTTCCAGGTCATCCAGTTCCCACCAACATCATTTCCTATGTGATGGTGACCTGATAACCTAGAAGTTGATCATACCACATGTGCAATCAATAGGGTCTATTGTAACTATTTTAACTAACTAATATTGTAACTAACCAGGTCTACTATAATTTAATTTGCACTGTAAAGAAATGCATTATAATGGGGTAGCACTGTGCTTGCATTTGATGAATCTGCTGGTTCGACACATTGGACTGCGCCATCCTCCTCTACCGCCTCTTCTCGCTCATCCACCTTAGTGGGACCGCACTCGCAGGGTTCAAGTCTTACTTAACCAACCACCTCCATTTCACCTCGGCAAATAGTTTCTCCTCCCACCCTCACCCAGACACCTACGGCGTACCCCAGGGCTCCATCCTTGGCCTCTTCTTTTCCTTATCTATGTGCTCCCTCTGGGTGATGTCATCCGCAGTCACGGGATAAACTTCCACATGTATGCGGATGACACACAAATCTACATTGCCTCCTCGAGTATCGACTCCAGGTCCCCCGATGTTCTATCAGCTTGTCTGGCAGACATCAGGCCCTGGATGAGTGTAAACTTCCTGCAGCTGAATGTGGACAAGACGGAAGCCATACTTCTTGGCTCCCATCAAAGTCTTCACTCCTGCAGATCTGGACTCTCCCTCAGATTCACTGACCCGGTGCGCAATCTAGGCATCCAGGTCGACCCCCAGCTGTCCTTCCTCCCCCACATCCGGTCCCTGACCAGGACCGCCTTCTTTCACCTCCGCCACATTGCCCGCCTCCGGCCGTACCTTACCCAAAACACAGCCAAAACTCTTGTGCTTGCGCTTGTCACCTCCCGCCTGGATTACCCTTAACGCACTCCTCGTCGGTCTTCACAGCTCCACTATTCAAAAGATCAGCTCATTCAGACTCTGCCGCCCCCACACTGACTCCATACCCACATCTCACCAGTTCTGGCCCAGGCTCCAGTGGCTCCGCATCACCGAGTATATCGATTTCAAGATCCTCGCACTCGTGGTTACATCCTTTCACTCCCTGGCACCTCCCTACTTCTTCGACCTTCTCACTCCCAATCCACATTCAGCACCTCCGCTCGACTGGCACCGGCCTCCTGCACGACCCTCCCACCCTCTGCCCCACCATCAGAGGTCGCTCTTTCAGCCACTACCCCCGAAACTCTGGAGCACTCTCCCTCAATCCCCCTTCTCTCCCCTTTTTCAAGTCCTACCTAAAACCTTCCTCTTCGACCATGCTTACAGCCACCTCGACCCCCATCCAGCTCCCCCCACCCCGGCTCGGAGTCAGGCTCTGCTACTGTTAAGCGTTCTGAGATTAGCTACCCTGCATGGAGGCCGCTACTTGTTGTGTTGCAACTTGTTGTGTTGCAACTTGTTGTGTTGAATCATATCCGGGGGGGACCCGAGGGAGGGGTGAGGGAGCTGTGGGGGGTGTCAGAGCCAGGGGAGGTGAAGAAGAGGTGGGGGAGGGGGAAGATGACTGAAAGCATGGTCAAACAGTTAGGTTTTGATGTGTCTTGAAGGAGGGGGTGGATGGAGTGAGTTAGGGAGTCTCTAGGAATGGAGTTCCAGAGAATGGGGGCAAAATAGCGATGATGGGGCAGATGGAGTGGGGGGACATGTAGCGAGGCAGCGTTTGGGAACGGCCAGGTCAGGAGGTTGCAGAGCTGCGGAGGAGGGTCGGGGGAGGCCTTGAAGGAGTTTCTCAGTGGGGAAAGAGGGAGCATTCGGTGAGGAAACTGCACGGCACATCACTCAGTGTCTGCCCCCTAGCAGCCATGGGAGGCTCCAATCGTTAGTTCTGACAGTGAACCATGAAACACTGCCCTCACTCCCCCACATCTCTGCTCTCTCACTCTCCGCTCTCATTCTATTTCTGATACCATTTTTTTTCATACACGCTTTCAATGATGCTCTCTCTTCCCCTCCCACCTCTTTCTCTCCTCTCTATCAATCACTCCTTATCCCCAGCAGCCCCCCCACCCCACTCAATCACAATTTCTCTCTCTCTCTCTCTCTCTCTCTCAATCACTCTCTCTCCCCCCCTTTCTTTCAATCTGACGCGTGGCTCCCTATCTGGCAGCGAGAACAGCTGCTCTCCCTGCCGTACGTCCAGGGTTGCTCACTATCTGGCAGCATCAGGGGTTGTGGGTTGGGAGGACACATGGTTGGTAAGCGTTTGCCTTCCCCTTAGCTCCAAAGGAACTTCCTGACAGACTGCAGCAGCAGGCTGATTTATTTCTCACTCCCCGAGCAGTGAGCTGCTGTAATGAGAGGACGGTTCACTGGTGGGGAGGGAGCAGGCGGCCCAAAATTGGAAACAGTTCACAGATTAAACTTATCCCCTAGGCCGGATGGGATCACCATCTGGCAATTAGACCACCCTGATGCAGGCATCTAACAAACAAAAAAACGAGTAATGATTAATCACTTATGCAAAATTTGGACGTGTGAGGAATTATCGTGAGCACGAAGAGAGAGCTCCCTGCTGTTCAACCAATAGTGAAAGGGGATCTTTAACTTCTACATGAATCAAAGCTGGTAGATGTGTCGTCCACATGATAGTTGTTGACTGACCACAGTCTTGACTAATTGGCTTCTTATATACAAAGCAACAACTGTATAACATGACGAAGTCCCAGATCCTGCAATAGAGTGGGACAAAGTTATTCTGGAGTCCTGTAGCTCAGTGACCTTGCAAGTGAGAGACCTGGGTTTGATTCCCAGCCGGGCGAAATGTTGGGCAAGTTACCTTATCCACCCACATGCCTATGTTTACTGAGTAATAACTAGGAACCCAGTTGTTAGTCGATTGGTGGATCGCTTTTCCAGAGATAATAATTCCTTCAATAAAATCATAATTTAGTCACTCAATCTATAACTCTTTGTGGGACACTGCTGTGCGCAATTGGCTGCTATGTTTGACCTACAAGATATACAGTCAATTCACTTTACAGTATAGTCTGTGAAGCGCTTTGAGACGTCTGGAATTTATAAGGTGCTATATCAAATATAAGGATTGTTATTATTTTTATTATTATTATTCTAATCCATGGGCACTGGAAATCCCTAGGTATCCACCTCCCTCCTGAATCCAACCCCCAGCTCGAGTCCAAACCCTTGCCGGTCCAGTGCCTTGGAACGATCTCCAGTAGTGAAAGGCAGAATTCAGACACAATGGCTGGGCAAATTACAACAATAACAAAATTACATTTGTAAAGTGCCTTTCACATTGGGAGGATGTCCCAAAGTGCTGAACAAACAGTGTTGCGGACCCGAGCTTGGGGTCGGGATCGGGGTGGGTGGAGGGCAGGGTGGGGACAGAGGGTGATCGAAGGCCCAGTCAAAGAGGAGGTTCTTGAGATGGGTCTTGAAGGAGGCAAGGGAGGAGGTGAGGTGAAGGGACTGCAGGGTGGAGTTCCAGAGGGTGGGGGTAGAGTGGCAGAAGGCCTGTTCACCAATGATGGGGCTGGTGAGGCAGACGATGTGAAGCAGGCCGTAGCCTGCTGAGCGGAGGTAGGGGTTTAAGAAGTTGCAAAGGTAGGGTGGAGCAAGGCCATGGAGGGCTTTGAAGGTGAGGACCAGGATCTTGAACTGTATCATCTGTGCGATGGGAAGCCAGTGGAGTCGAACGAGGATGGGGGTGATAGGGTCACAGAGCCTGGTGCGGGAGAGGACATGGTCTGCAGAGTTCTGGATGATCTGCAGCCTGTGGAGGGAGGAGTTGGGGAGGCCGACAAGCAGGGAGTTTGTATAGTCAAGCCTGGATGTTCTGAATGCGTGTGTGAGGGTCTGTGGTGTGAGACAATGGCGGAGCCGGGAGATGTTGCAGAGATGGGGGAAGGCAGAGCGGTTCATGGCATGGATGTGGGGTAGAAAGGATAGTTGAGGGTCAAACGAGATGCCAAGGTTCCGGCCAGGCTTGGTAAGGTGGAGTGAGCAACCATGGATGGTGATGCTGTCAGTGCCTCAGGTGTGGAGGCGCTGACGGGGGGTAATCAGGAGAGCCTGAAGAAAGTTAGATCTTATCCAGGACTTGATGTCTGACAGACATTCTGTGAGGACAGCAGTGGGTCCTCGAGACAAGGCTGGAGGCAGAGAGGCAGACTTGGGTGTCATCCTCATACATATGGAAGTTGACCCCATGTCTGCAGATGATGTCACCAAGAGGAGCTTATAAATATTGTAGAGAAGGGGACCCAGGTCAGAGCCCTCAGGAGTATTGCACGAGACGGTGCGGGGGCTAGAGGAGAAACCGTTTGTGGAGATGAATAGGAGACGGTGAGAGACAAGCAGCCTTGTATCAATGTACTTTATGTGACATTTCCCACCTCCCTATTAATTAATTCAGATTATTTTTTCTTTTATTCAATGTTACATTTCAGGGTGTTGCGGGTCTGCCTGGGCTCCCAGGACCCCCAGGACCCCCAGGAGTGCCAGGGATCGTTTACTATAATGTAAGAACTCCTATTTGTGCAATTTATAAATTATTTTTAAAAAAATCATGTTTCTTTTCTGTTAATTGTTTTGTGTTTCTTTGTAGAGAGTTTTCCCTGTTCCTCAAAGACCTCACTGCAAAACCCCTGTGAGTAACATAGTCAATATTTAATTGAAATGATGTCAGCCACATAGTGGCACCCGCCTCCCAACCGTTGTCCTCTCCCCCATCCCCGGGCCCCCCGAGTGCCTCGCCAGGCCCCCCGAGTGCCTCACTGGGCCCCCCGAGTGCCTCAGCATGTTCCATAGTTTGTTGGCTGTCAGTGACCAAGTATATTGACTTTGACTCTGTTTGAATCGCATGAGCAGGAGAGCTTGTTTGCTATCTTCTGTTCACTGGATTGAAATAATTACAAGGCCGGTTCCGGCATTTACCCGCATTTTTCGGCGCTAAAAAAAGATTTTGCCCACAAAAGCCAGTAAATGCCAAAAGACATTGCCAGGAGTTCCGGCTCGCCAGACCAAATCAACTCCCCTAATTAGTCTGAAAAGCTTTTAGTGTATTCTCATCAGTTTTATTAATCAATGTGTTTCTGCCATTAGGTGAAGCATGAAAACTACCGTGACCTTCATCGTAAACCAGGTATTTTTACTCTGAGCATCAGTCACAAATTGCAACACACTTAAAAAACAGTATTGTTGTTTATTATTAACGCACATTTCTGGTCTTTGTTTTTTTTTGCAGACATTCACAGCAATAAAATCAATGACAATCTCTTAGGCAGCAATGTAAAGGTAAGGAAGGAAAATTATCCAAACCGGCCTCTTGTAATGTGATCTTCAGTTATACTTTCAAATAACAATCAAAGGTTAGTGAATGTATTAAGTAGAAAGGGTTTAACAGTCAAAAATAAAAATCTAATAGGAAGAAGTAGCTATTACTTTAATTCAACATTGATTTTACAGATGGGCTATTAAATGTTATAAACCCTAGAAATCCCAACTGTATTCACGTAATATTTCCCTGTACAAATACTGTCCAGGTGAAAATCTCTTCAGTGTAACACATTGAGCGTTCTGTGTGATAAATTGTGCACTTGATAGGGTCTCTGTGTAATGCATTGATTGTACAACGAACCAGAGTAGTCACTGGGTGTTTTGTTGCTTTATTAAACACTAGCTGTACTCGTTACAGGCACCAGGAAACAGCCTGTCATGATCTATATTGTTTTTCCCCTTTAGAATTTTAAAGACAGCAATCATGTCATCCCTCAATCTTCTCTTTTCCAGCGTGAACATACCCAATTCACTTAGTCACTCCTCATAGTCCAGTCCTTCCATTCCCTCAATCATTTTGGTTACCCTCCTAGACTTCTTCTAGATTTCTCCAATATCTTTTTTGCACTGCGGCAACCAGAACTGTACACAGTATCCAAGTAAGGTCTCACCAATGATTTGTTCAATGGCAGGATTACCCCACTATTTCTGCTTGTTATTGATCATTTGATACATCCCAAAATCTGGTTTGCCTTTACTCACTGCCTAGAGCATTGTTGGGAGAGCATCAATTTATTGTCAATCAGAACCCCCAGGTCCTTTTCATTTTCCACACATATTATTTTCTTTCCGTTCAAATAATAGTCCCAACATTTCTCCACATTGAATTTCATTTGCCACGGATCTGCCCAATTCCCAAGTATGCTCAAATCCTCCTGTAGCCTCTCTTATTCAGCTTTGCAATCTACCTCCTTTATTAGCTTGGTGTCATCTGCAAACTTAACCACTGTGCTTGCGACTTCTAGTTCCAGATCACTTATAAAAATATTAAACAAAAGAGGTCCCAAAACAGACCCTTGTGGAACTCCAATGGTAACATTTTCCCACTCTGATGACATTCCCTGTGCCACCACCCTCTGGGTTCCCTCTGGTCAACCATTTGCGTATCCATTGTGATATACATCCACTGATTCCCGCTTTCTTTACTTTCAGTACCAGCCTCGCAAGGGGGACTGTATCAAAGGCCTTACTGAAATGATAATAATAATCCTTGCATTTCATATCGCGCTTTTCATGTCTTCTAAACATTTCAAAGTGCTTCACAGAATATACTGTAAAGTGAATTGACTGTATATTTTGTGGCAAAATGCAGCAGGCAATTGCACACAGCAGTGTCCCACAAACAGTCGTGGATTGCGTGACCAAATTATTATTGTTTTTTTTCTCTCGGGGGATTATTATCAGACGTGTGGATTAAGGAAACTTGCCCAAGATTTTGCCCTGCTGGGAATCAAACCCAGATCTCTTGCTTGCTCTAACCATTGAGCTACAAGACTTACATTATACAACATCCACAGCCTTACCCTTATTTACACTTTATTACTCCCTTGTCACATCATCAAAGAAAACCAATAAATTAGATTGGGAAGAACCCATGAACCCCTTCATGAACCCATATTGGCTCTCATTTATGATTTTATTTCTGTCCAAATGCTCCATGATATTATCCTTAATAAGAGTGTCCATAATTTTACCTACAATGGACGTCAAACTTACTGGTCTGTAGTTTCCTGAGTCACTTTCGTTACCTTTCCTAAAAAGAGGAGTAATATCTGCCTTTCTCCAGCCCCCTGGCACCTCTCCAGTATTCAGTGATTTTTGAAAGATTTGTACCAGCATTTCTGCGACTTCCTCCCTTAGTTCCTTAAGGATCCTCGGATGCAAATTATCCAGCCCTTGAGATTTATTTACCTTTACCACACCTGTTTGGCAACCTGTTTGGCAACCATACTGGTAGTGATATGCATAGTGTCACAACTTTTCTCTGCAACATCCTTGAGTTCTCTTTCCAGATCAGATAGGTTACCCATCTCCTCTTTGGTAAAGACTGATACAAAAAACTTATATAGCACTTTGCAGCCTGTGCAGCATTATTTGTCATGTTGTCTCCCGAACCCACCTTTCGTGGCCCTATTCCATTGCTTGTTTTTCTTCTACTCTTAATGTAACTGAAAACCTTTTTGTTATTATCCCTTACATCTCTTGCCATGTTCGATTCAAAGCTTTCCTTTGCCATTCTGATGCCTTTTTNGCAATCCTGGCATTCCTTCCATAGTGAGTCTGACTTACTTCTGTACCATTTTCCTTCATGGCCTTAAATGCTTTTTTGTTTCCTCTTTATGATTTACTTTGTATCTCCGTCCAACCAGGCAGGAGTGCCTTTAAGCTTGGTACCTTTGCTTTGCGTGGGTACGCATTGTTCCATTGCCTTCATAATCATCTCCTTATAGAAACTGCATAGGTCCTCCACTCCCATTGCCATATTTAAGCCTCACGGCTTAAGTAAAGCATTTTTTAATATAGCTCATCAATGACAGGAGATCCCTGAAAAAATATGTCTCATTCATGACCTTCCTGATGAGATATAAATCATGTCTCTACATCAATTGGTTATTGCATTCTTGGCAGACAGCCACACAGACATTTTGTCTTTACTAATATAGATAGATTATGCTGGGCAGCATCAGTTGATTATGTATGCCATATTCATCCCCCAAGCCTGTTTGCTATCTACCTCAGGTTTATGGTTACTATCATGAATTAAGGAACTAGTGAACCTCAGAGACCAGAATGCCTGTGTTCATGGAGTTTTCAGTTTAACCCTATTTCATTGACGCAAACATTGCAATCTATCTATTTCCTTCTCACACTCCATTGAACATAATGCTGACTCTGTTGTCAGAAAACCAGCTCAGTTGCAGAACACTAGAAAATTGATCTGAATTATTGATGTTTTTGTGTTTTTCAAAACAAAATATGAAATAGAGCCATGTATTTAAGAATGTGGATCTCATGCTAAAAGCCACCCAAATGATACCTGAAGGCTCACTGGTCTACGTGACTGAAGAAAGTAAAGTCTTTGTTCGATTGCAATATGGCTGGAACAAACTTTGTGTGAGTATATGTTTGTTTATATGATCCAACTTTCACATGTATTAATGTTGTCATGTGACATAGAGCGTCAGCCTGGCTCTCACTGGCACCTCGGTGCTTGCACTCTCACTTCTGAGTCTGAAGATTGTGGGTTCAAGTCCCACGTCGGGACTTCAACTCACATAATCTAAGCTGACGCTCCAATGCAGGTTTTGGGGATGTTTCATTGTTGCAGATGCCGTCCTTCAGATGAGACATTAAACCGAGGTCCTGTCTGCCTGTTCAGGAGGATGTTAAAGATCCTGTGGCACTATTTAAATTTCTCCCGGTGTCATGGCTAAAAATCCTGCAAAATAAAATTGGTCATTTGTTTCACAGCTGTTTTTGTGGGGCATTGATGTATGCACTCCACTTCACAATAGGAGCACTGTGAAGCTCTTTGGGACAATCCTCCTGACATGAAAGTCATTACCAAATGCAAGGATTATTAATATTTACATTAAAATATATTGCATCTGCATCCTTGAAATAACTCATAGAAATAAAAATCCTCACAGCTACGAAGCACAAGGCAACAGATGAAAACTGGTACCCAAGAGAAATGAATGATGAAGATCCATAGTAATTTTTATAAAGAACAAAATGGGCTCTTTCCTCCTCTTGCTCTTACTCACCTCCTCCCAAGGTTAGGGTTTCCATCTTGATTTCTATTCAGTGGCTCTGCTGATGTGCGTGAACATACATTATCTATAATGAATAATTAATATTTATTATAGATATTGTTTAAAGAGAGTACTTTAGTCTCAGACTGGAGCCCCTGAAAACAATCCACATTTAGAGTTGGGGAGGACAGATCTGAAAAGAATGATTACTGCCCTGCCCCCATAACAGAAAATAGAGTGTTTGATATACTGGCACTTCAACAGAATGGAGGGTAATATCTTAAGAATGACCAACAATTTTATCTTATTAATTAATCTTCTACAAGAGTTTAATAAAAATGTATAGCATTATCACTGTAGACTTTTAAATATATTCTGTTGAAATTTTGTTATAAAATAAATGTTATGAAATAAAACTTATGATTGCGAATCTGAAATCACGTGAGAAATAAAAGGCAATCAAGCTTTATTATCATAGTTCAACATCATATGAACCACAATCACTTAGTGTAATATTGATCTGTTGGATATTTCATTCCACAAGGAATATAGCAACTCAGTTATTTTTAAACATTCTTCGTGAATGCATTTCTATTTTCCCTGACAGGTGGATGAGTTCCTTGCTGGTATACCAGCTGATGACCCCACAGTATCAGTAAGTAAGCACTTTGAGACGCTGGTCATGTTTCTATTTACATCAAGTAGAGGCTGATGATAGAGTCAAGGATTCTTTAATCCACGAATGAGTCATGTGCCAGTTTCTTCAAGTGAATTGGAATCAAGACTCTGTAATTCTGATTTCTTTCCAGTATATGGAGGAACCTTTTAAACAGTTTTGACCATTTTTTTTCTTTCATAAATACCATGTTTTTTTAGAAAGAAAGACCATTTTTAGCATGTGTCCTCCTAATTCAGGGTGCAAAATTATGGATCCAAACCACTCCATTGTAATGGGTTGCCCTGTATTCTGTTCTCTGTTATTATGATACTGGGTAGTTGAAGCATATATGGGTAATGGCAATCAAAGCATCATAAACCATCTGCTTATTCACAGAATATAATCTCTTTCTACTTAAATAAATAAAAGGTCCAGTGTCGCTACAGAGAAGAGTACTCAGTGTAGAGTAGTGTAGCGTACCCATGGATGATCAGCCTGTTGCTGATGGTGTGCCTCATTGGATGTTGATGTCTGATAAGCAATTGCAGTTGTTAGACTGAGAGTATCCTGCAAAATCAGACATTCATGTTAATAGTTGCAATTACAGAAATAAATGACATGGTAATGAACATTTTTAACTAGTCTATCTGCACCCAACTAGGGTGAAGCAAAAAAAGATCCTCCAAAGCTTGAACATAGAAACCTGATTCACCATAGAAGAAGGGTAAGTCTTAAACTCATTTGTTGAGTCAGAAGGTTGTGGGTTCAAGCTCCCTGTTGGGACATTCTAGGCTGGCACTCTAATTGAAGGTTAAACCGGGTTCCCATTTGTGCCTTTTTAGATGGACGTTAAAGATTCCATGGCAATATTCAAAATGAGAAGGAAGCTTCACATACACAGGTCTTTGAAGGTGGCAGGACAGGTTGATAGAGCTGTAAAAAATGCACATGGGATCCTTGGCTTCATAAATGGAGGGATAGAGTACAAAAGCGAGGAAGTTCTGCTAACCCTTTAAAAGTCATTGATTAGGCCTCAGCTGGAGTACTGTATCTAATTCTGGGCACCACATTTGAGGAGAGATATCGATAACAAGGTATGGCATCCAAACTTCCCTGGATGAATAAGGAAATTGGGATTAAAATAAAACAGAAAAAGGAGGCTTATGATAAATGTCAGGTCCAAAATCAGAAGATAATCAAATAGAACATAGAAAGTACAGAGAAATGAAAAAGGAAATAAAAGGGGCACAAAGATTGTATGAGAAAAGAATAGCATACAAGGGAACCCTAAGGTATTTTATAAGCATATAAAGAATAGAAGGTTAGTCAAAGGTAGGGTGGGTCCAAGTAGGGACCAAAGAGGAAATCTTCTTGTGGAGGCAAAGAGCATGGCTGACAGACTGAATGAGTACTTTGCATCTGTCTTCACAAAAGAAGAGGATGCAGCCAATACCACAGTATCAAAGGAGAGGATAGAGAAATTGGATAAGATAAGAATAAACCGAGAGGAGGTACTGAAAAGGTTGTCGGTGCTCAAGATAGATAAGTCACCTGGTCCAGATGGGATGTATCCTAGGTTACTGAGGGAAGTAAGGGTGGAAATAACGGAGGCTCTGTCCACAATCTTTCAATCTTCCTTTGACACTGGGGTGATGCCAGAGGACTGGAGTGTTGCAAAAGTTACTCCCCTGTACAAAAAGGGGCAGGAAGGTAAACCCAGGAACTCCAGGCCAGTTAGCCTAACGTCAGTAGTGGGGAAACTTCTAGAGACTATAACCTGGGACAAAATAAATTTTAAATTAGAAAAATATGGGTTAATAAAGGACAGCCAACATGGGTTTGTTAACATGTCCAACAAACCTGATAAGAGTTTTTTGATGAAGTAACAGAGAGGATGATGAAGGTAGTTCAGTTGATGAAGTTTATATGAATTTTGAAAAGACGTTTGATAAAGTGCCACATAAGAGACTTGTAAGCAAAATAGAAGCCCAGGGTATTAAAGGGACAGTGGCAGCGTCGATACAGAACGGGCTGGGAGACAGAAAGCAGAGAGAGTAGTGCTGAGCAGTTGTTTTTCTGACTGGAAGGAAGAGTGCAGTGGTGCCCCCCAGGGGTCAGTATTGGGATCACTGCTGTTTTTGATCTATATAAGTGACCTGGACTTGGGTATAGGGAGGACAATTTTCAAGTTTGCAGATATTACTAAGCTGGAAAAGTAGTAAACAGTGAGGAGGACAGTAACAGACTGCAAATGGACATAGACAGACTGGTAACATGGCAGACACGTGGCAGATGAAGTTTAATGTGGATAAATGCAAAGCGATGCATTTTGGGAGAAGAATGAGGAGAGGCAATATAAGCTGATGGTACTTTAGGGAATACCATCTAGCTTATATTGCCTCTCCTCATTCTTTACACTTTAGGAAAGATGTCAAGCTATTGGAGAGGGTGCAAAGGAGATTGACCAGGATGGTACCAGGAATGAGGGACTTCAGTTATCAGGAGCGGCGAGAGAAGCCGGGATTATTCTCCTTGGAGCAGAGAAGGTTAAGAGGAGACTTAATAGAAGTTTTCAAAATGATGAGGGGATTCGATAGTGTGAACAAGGAGAAACTATTTCCACTGGCGGGTGGGTCAGTAACCCGAGGACACCAATTTAAAATAGTTGTTAAAAGAAACAGAGGGGAGGTGAGGAGAAATGTTTTCACACAGCGAGTTGTTAGAATCTGGAATGCTTTGCCTGAAAGGCTGGGGGAAACAGCTTTTAAGAGAGAAGTAGATAATTATTTGGGGAGGACAAGTTTGCAGGGCTAGGGGGAGAGAGCAGGGAGTGGGATTGATTTGGAAGCTCTTTTCAAAGAGCCGGCATAGACATGGTGAGCTAAATGGCCTCCTTCTGTGCTGTATGATTCTATGATTCTATATGTGATGTATAGCCTAATTGTGATGCTTTCTTTTCCTCTAGCTTCACTTAGTGGCTCTGAATACCCCAATGAAGGGTAAAATGGCTGGAATCCGCAGTGCTGATTTGCAGTGTTTCCAGCAGGCTCAGGAAGCCGGACTTCTGGGAACATTTCGTGCATTCCTCACTTCTAGCAACCAAGACCTTATTTCTGTTGTGAGAAGGGCGGACAGAGCATCTGTGCCAATTGTTAATCTGAAGGCAAGTATTGTTTAGTTAACCCTAACCCTAAGAACATTTTTGTGAGAATCTTTACACAGTGGAGCATTGTATAAGGTGTTGTTGTGGTCCATGATATCCATAAAAATTTCAAATTGTGCCTTTCACAGCGCCTTTCATATTGGGAGGACATCTGAAAGTACGTCACCAGATACACTGTAAAGTGTAATGACTGTATTTTGTGGTCAAACAGATGGCTGACTTCTGGGTCATCAGGTCACTGCTTTCATCACTTCCTGGACATTGCACTTTGATTCAGGTGGAATATAAACACCTGCACAGATTAGTTGTGCCGAATGGCTTGTTTCCATGCTGTACAATCTATGTTCCTGGATGACACTGGAAGTGACAAAGATGACAATCGGAATGTGGACGTTTTTAGCATGGGAACCAAACTGGCCAGCTGTGCACATTTGTGTTATAAACAAAGCAGCGCTAATAACAAAATACATAATAAGAATAAAGCAACACAAATTTTATATAGCGGATTACAGTTGGGAGGACAAACCTGCATTGTAGAAATGACTGACAAACCTCTCTCTTTGACTGCATCTTTGGTCAACTCCCTTCTCCGATCTCTGAGATGCTACCCTGGTGAAGGACACTATATAACTGCAAGTTGTTATTGTTGTTGTTCTACTGTTCGTACTTCCTACCTTACTCAGGCTTCCACTTATCTCAGTAAAGTACTTTCACCCTATGTCAGGGTGGTCCAACTGGTGACTTTGGGATCCCAGAGAGTGCGTTGGGGTAACTGCTGGAGTCTAACCAGCTAAAACCGTATAGCTTGCTATTCATGTCATTGTGAGAGAGGGGCGGAGAGAGAGAGTGAGAGAAAGGGGAGAATAGGGGGAGAGGGGAGAGAGAGTGTGTGTGAACAAGGGGAGAGAGGAAGTGAGTGAGAGAGTAATTGTGAAAAGGAGAGAGTGTGTGTGAGAGTGCGTGAATGTATGGGAGAGAGTGATCGAGAGAGAAGGGGAGAGGCGTGCATGAGAGAGGAGGAGAGAGAGCGAGGGAAAGGAATGAGAGAGGGAAAGGGATGAGAGAGAGAGAGAGAGAGAGAGTATGTGCGAGAGTGTGTAAGAGAGAGGAAAGAGAGTGATTCAGAGAGAAAGGAGGGAGAGTGAGAGGGGAGAGAGTAATTAGAGAGAGTAATTAGAGAGATTAATTGAGAGAGAGGGGGAAAGAGAGTGTGTGAGAGGAGAGTGAGTGAGAGAGAAGGGAGAATGAGAGAGAGAGCATGAGGGTGATGGGGAGAGAAACGGAAGAGGGAGGGAGCAAGAGGGAGGGAGCAGAGAGAGAGGAGGGAAGTGAGGGCAGCATTTTGTAAGTCACTATCGGAGCTTCCCTTGGCCGCTGTGGGGGGTGGATGGGCAAGAACAGACACGGAACCCCGTGCCATGCAGTTTCCTCACTGCAAGTTCTCTCTTGCCCCAGTGAAAAACTCCTCTACGACCTTCATCCACCCTCTCCACATTACCTCTGCAACCTCACAACCCGGCCGTTCCCTTTGCCCAGCAAACACTGCCTTGCTTCATGTCTCTCACCCCATCTGCACCATCATCGCCATTTTGCCCCCGCTCTCTGGAACTTAATTCCCAGAGTCTCCCCAACTCGCTCCATCCCTCCCCTCTTTCAAGGTATATCTAGACCTAACTCTTTGACTGCACTTTTTGGTCACCTTTCCACTCCCCATCCCACCTCCCTCAGCTGCCACCCCCAGCTCAGGTGGCCTGCCAACAGTGTTGAACACTTTAAGACATCCTTCCATTGTGAAAAAGTTGCTGTACATGTTATGTTATCTTTCTGGAAGGAAAACCCTAAAATATTGCTTATGCAACCCGTGGTGTTTCTGAAATTCAACCATCAGCAGCCAAAAAGTTGGACTCCCCACTCCCCCTGCCGCCCGGCCTATATGAAAAAACCAATATAAATGCAGCTTGTTGTTGTAGTAATTATTAAGTAGGATTTAAATATTCCCTGTTCACCACCATATATGCTTAGCTTGAATTATTCAAATTGTTGGGGATGCAGATAGCTTGTTTTTTTCCGTACCAGACTGTGAAGTTGCACTTATTTCAAGTCTTACAAGATGTTTCTTTCCCAGTATTAATATTGGAGTGTTAGACTGCACAAAATTTACCAATAAAAGAGTTGAAAAGATGTCAAACCTTTCAGCTTTTGATTAAACTGTTACTGTATTTCTTGCAGGGTGATGTACTCTTTCTCAATTGGAACAGTCTCTTCAGTGGCTCTGGTGGATATTTGAAACCCAAAACACCTATTTATTCCTTCAATGGCCACAATGTCATGACTGACCCCTTATGGTGAGTGTAATATGTTAGACCATAGAAATCAGCCCATATAAATATAAGTCCTCTAACAATGTTATAGAGGGTCCAGTCGTGTGTGTTATGGGTACATGGGTATTAGCATTGTGTATGGCGGGGGAACTGCTTCTGCAGTGTATGGTGAGAGGAAGACAATCCACTGACCCCATTGCTGTTTCCTTTTAGTGATGAACTAGTTGTAGAAGAAATAGTAGCTGTACTGAAGCAATCAAATGTTCAGTGAGTTTCTCACTCATCTGATGGCCTTTGAGACCATATGAGATCTTCACAGTTTCACTACAAATTCTTCTTGTAGATTGCTTAAGCTACTCCAAACGAGCAAACGAACAAACCTTAATCAACCAACAGGCTTTAAGGTTTTTCTCTCTTTTATTATAATGTTTATTTTACCTAAGATGATATCCTTGTCCAAAATCACAATTATTATTACCAAAGTCCAAGAGATTTTATTCTCCCTTCACTTCTATATGGACCACTGATCCTCCATTTAGTGTTTCACGTGGATTTTGTTATTACAATACAATTTACATTCATACAGTGCCTTTAATGTCAGGGGGATTCCTCAAAGTGCTTAACAATGCTGCTGGGCACTCAAACTGGGGATGGAGGCCAAAGGGGGTGGGGAGAGGAAAAGATAACTGGAAGTACAGTCAAAGAGATGCATCTTGAAAAGGTATTTATTCATCATTGAGGGATTGTAACAATTGAATAACGCTTTTTTTGCTCACCCCAACCAATTTTTTTCATGAAGGCCTCTATTTCTTACTGGGATACAGTTCTATGGGCAGTTTTCTGATACATGTGCCAACCAACCCTGAGAGGCTAATGACTTATAACCAAGCCTTTTCCTGGCACTAACAAGTGTGCCCTTAAAAGTCACTTGATGGCAACTAGGACCAGCAGTTCTTTTCTTCCTCTCTAACCCCAAGTCCTGTCTTGTGATTTATGAGACTGTTGTTTTATATGGAGTCCTGTAGCTCAGTGGTTAGAGCACCTGCCTCACAAGCGAGAGACCTGAGTTCGATTCCCAGCACGGTGAAACCTTGGGCAAGTTTCCTTACTCCACACGCCTAATAATAATCCCTCAAGAAAAAAAAACAATAATAAGATTCAAGACTGAGATAGATAGATTTCTTATTGCAAAAGGTTTTAAGTGATATGGGGATAACAGGGTTAGGTTATTAGCTGGAGTTAGATTAGAAGATCAGCCATGATTGAATGGCGGGGTAGGCTCGAAGGGCCGAATGGCCTACTCCTGCTCCTACATGTTATGTTATAAATTGGTCACTTCAATCCACGACTGTTTGTGGGACACTGCTGTGCGCAATTGGCTACCAGGTTTTGCCCACAAATCTACAGTAAATGAGGTGTCCCTACCAGGAAAAAACTTTTCTTGTTGGTTGACAGCCTTTAATCATCTGTGATCCTTGAGTTGGCTGTCTATAAATGATGATAAATATCTCCCTCTCTAGCAATGTTTGTGAGGTTATTGGTTAGAGCACTCGCCTCGCAAGCGAGAGAATCTGGGTTTGATTCCCAGGCAGGGCGAAACATTTCTTTACTCCACACACCTGTTTGCCAAGCACTAAGTAGGAACCCAGTTGTTAGTTG